TCGCTACACCCCCAATAGGCACACATGCTAATAAGCCGGTCCCCGATTAGAATGGGGAAGGGGTATGGAATTTTATTGTGTTCTAGAGAGTTGTTACACATTTCTCACTGAACTAATGGGTTTTTAGCAAAGTGCCTGCACAATATGCGATTGAGGGTTGGAAAAAAATGAATAGATCCAAATAGCCAGGTATACTTAGAGGACCATTAAATCATTAGACACAATAAATTAGATCTACTTTTGTGAACAAACCATCATGAGACATTTAAGAGGCGGGTTTTAAGTAAAAATAAACAAAATGAGGTGCTAGGGATTTTAGCAGACCGGTTTTTTTTAGCAGACCGGTTTTTTTTAGCAGACTCCAAAATTGACCAATCAGAAAGCTTCATTATTCATTCAGATAAAAAGGCTCAAAAGTGCAGATTTTTAAATTTTATCAAGTCACAACATATTTATCAAAGCTAATTAACAAAAATCAACGGAAGTAACAAGTTTCACATAAAATGAGTCCAACAAACTGAGTTTTTCATTAAGTTTTTGACATATCAGGGCTATACCGTCCCAATACTCGAATTCTGATAAATTTCCATCGAGGTGAAAGCTCTTAAGCCTCAAAATTTCCAATGCAGTTTCTCAATTCCTCATATTAAGATCATTCATCCACGAAGGATGGGACCAACATACGAGCTGTACAGCTCATATGATAAAGTTTTCAAAAATTTCCAAAAATTTGATCGAAAAGTGCCCACAGTTTTTTTCCAGCCTGAATTCCATCCCTAGCAAACATTCGCTGTTCTAATATTGACAGCTCGATCGCAAACGTTTCACATTTGCATTGGAATTGGTCCCAAAATCCAAAAATCCAAAGATATTCAAAAATTTTCCCCAAATTTTCGTTTTCGTTGATTTCTTCTTGAACTTCTTCTTGATAAATTGCTAGCATCATAGTGAGTTCGCCGGTTCACAAGGACGGCAAATTGAAAATTTTTTGGAAAATAATTGAATTTTTTGATCGTTCACATAAAAAGTGTATAATTCAAATTTCTGAATTTTTCGCAAAATTCACTGGGAATAGTGAAACCAACAACCAGAATGTTGCGAGACAAAGAAAAGTTTTTGAATAGCTGTTATAACATCCGTCTCGCAGTCTGTTTTAGTCAGTCCCGAAGTGTTTTTTAATCATGATCTTAGTTAGTCGTTTTCACAAAAGCGTTTTATTTTAGTTCAGTTATTTTGAAGAGTTACTCACCCTTGAGTACCTCTTATTAAAAATTGAAGTGTGATCACAAAGCGTGGGTGTAGCGCGGTGGGTTAGGCCGGCTATAAGCATGCTCAGGGCGTCCTTCTCTGGTGGGTTAGGCTAGGAGTGGGAGTATGATTGCATGCTGTTTCTTTGAGAGGTCCTATTATGTGATAACATTTTGTGTTGGTTTTTTTCTGGTCTTTCTTATGTTACTTTGGTTGTGTCCTTTTTTCAAAAATCAAATTGTTTTTGGTTTGGGTTTGTCTTGCGACTTTTTTGTGTTTTATTATTCCTTTCTTAGACTTTATAATAGTCTTCAAAAGAATAAGTTATCCAGTTTTAAACTGGGTTAATCCGGTTTTTGCAGTTCTTGCGTTTTTTGGCGCAAAATTTCAAAAAAAATTTTTAGTAATTTTTTCCTCGGATTTTTTGCAAACTAAGGCCCAAACAAGTAGAATTTTTCACTCTTTCGACCCAAATATGGTGTAAATTTATATACATGTTTTTAAGGAATTAAAATGAAAAAACTGACGAGAAAACTATTAGGACAAACTTTTAGCAGATCAATCGTTTATCTAAAGAGTGAAAAATTATTCTTTCGGCAAAGAAAATTGACTCATAGTTGATTGACCGCCGTAAAAAGACGGTCATTATTGGATCAAGCTTCACGTCATATAAAAAGACATTTATCTCATCATTTGTCAAGAAAGCTGTTGACTTCGAAAACAGAGTTATCTAAATTAGAAGCAAAAACAGCTTTACGTGCACATTAACTTTCAAGCCGAATGAAAGCGCAGTGGAGTGAGCTGTCGCTACTTGCCAATACCTCGTTTGAAATTAGTGTTCTGATTTGCTAATTATTTGAGCCTGCTATAAGATCGGTCTGCTATAAACCTGTCTGCTAAAATACCTAGCACCACTGGTGTTCTATAAGATTTTTGTTTTTTTCATACTTCTTTTATTTTTAATTTTTCAGAAACGCAACTTAATGACGCTCGCTTGCCTTGAGTAATTTTTGCTTGTTATTGCAAACCAGATCAAATCTCATTTCTGTTAACGCAACTAAGTATAATGAATAATAACCAATTATAATTAACTGATCACTGAGACAAAGTATAGTTGTTTATAATCGATTACGGATATAAAATTGAAACCAAGAAACTGATTGGTGCTAGGGATTTTAGCAGAACGGTTTTTTAGCAGACCGGTTTTTTAGCAGACTCAGAACAATTATAAAGTGTGATAGCTATTTTCAAACGCGGCATTGGCGATTAGCGACCGCTTGCTTGCCTGCGCTTCCATTCGTCACAAGTGTTATAGTGCGCATAAATCTTTGTCATGCCGCTAATTTAGACTGCTGCGTTTTTGACAAATCGTGAGACAATTGTCTTAATTGGGGGAAGTTTGACTCAAGACCAAGCGTCTTTTTGAGTCTGTCAGTCAACCATGCCCCCTTAATTACGTTGGTCTGCTAAACGGTTCATTTTCACTTTTTACGCTAAAAGATTAGTCTGGTAACCGATCGGTCCCCATATTGCCATTTAAACCGCTTTTTTGAAAAACTAAGATCTCCGCGCTGAAGTAGACTATTTTGTCAGTATAATTCTTTATATTTGATTTGTTTGAAACTAAACAACCCATTACAATCAATCTAAACCGTATTTTCTAGTTTTAAAACTTTAAAAGAGGGGAATTGCTATTGGTTGCGCGTTAGGGGTAATTAAGGGCGACTGGCGATTGCCAGGAACTTAAAAAGGGTAGAAAATATAAAATCTAAATTGAAAAGTAGAGATTATAAAATATACGCAGCATCTGAATTAAACATAAAATGAAATAATTTTTACAGAAACTTTCAAGTTCTATCGAAGGATTTTCTATCAAGATAGATATTGACAACAAAATGACAATATAATCGATTATGATCGGTGAGCGCTCGTTGCGGTTTGAAGCTCTGTATTATATCACACTGAAGATATCACTAAAAAATAATTCAAGAACAATAGTCATAATCCATCATATAAAACTCTGCATTCGAAATATTCCTAACGTAGACCGAGTTGCCTTCTGATAGGAACTCAGTCGTCCTCGATTATAACCTCGAAAAACTAGTATCTTGTTAGAGATCTAATGACATTATTAAAAAAAGAGAGAAGGACTTAGGATACATCACTGGCTGAGCCTCAGCAGTGGCAAGAATCTTTTTGGTCGAAATTAGATAACATGACGTACAGACAATGTTTAGATCAGAAACTAACCTTTGAGATAACCAATAGACTATGTCAAAAAACTTGAAATTAATAAGCAAAATAAAATTCGACCTTAAAATTTTTTTTGAGTTAATACAATCCAAGCGAATAAGGTTCAAGTGCCAAAAGCAAATTGAAGTTGAACCTTTTTCGGGAAACCAGAACAACACCTGGAATAAATGGTATGTGGCTTTGATCAAAAATTCCTCTTCTCAGATCAAACCCAAAACTCGTATACGTTTATCCAGCTATGTCAACGTTCTTTATAAAATTTATCAACCAAATTTAACTAAACTCATTCTTTGTGCAAAAAACTCCCTTTTGTCTTCACAAAACAACAATTAAAGTTATTTGAAAGAGTGTAATGTTTATTTTTTTGAATTTTTCCTGCTCTAGTCTAAATATTCATTTAAATCCTATTTTTTCTCCGTTTTCAATTTGATCTAGATTCATATTTACCTTTTTAAAGATTATCAAGCCTTGCTTGGACCTCCTAACTTTCCTAAACTTGAATTCAATCATCCCGTAATTTTGTGTCTTTGAATAGAAATAAACAGTGCCAAATTACTTGTAAAAATCAACTCATTTGACACTCGGATCCTAACTGAGCCAACAAAAAACAAACCTCTTAGAATTAGTGAGTGTAGAAAACACAGTCTAACAATCTACATACTCGCGCTCTGAGTCAAAATTAAACACCTCTTAACCTAAAAGCTCTTTAAAGCCTAAATGTAAACCCCTATACATATTTTAAGAATTTTTTTAAGAGTTTAATAGTTTGCAATAGCTATTCAATTATTTAATTTTCACACTCTGTCATGTTTTGGACCACGTAGATGATAAAATAAAGCTAAAAGTCGCAAATTGCGAGAACCAAAAGCTTACGGAATGGAGAAAATCTAACTCAAATTGTTAAAATCTCAATTAATCGAAATGAAAGCTATGTCTGCAGCTAACATCGGAATAAAAACAACCAAGTTCATTTTTATAGCCCCCAAGCAAAATGAGAGTACCATAATTTTTGCGTTTTTAGACTGGGGGAGGGGCTTAACTGAGAATCAGTCAAAACTTCACTTAAACACTAAAACCTGGCCTTAAAAGCGCCCGAATTTCAGCCCTAGCTCTTGGTCGGATCTTGATTTTAAAATTGCAATTGGTTTGTTTTGTAGTCGTCAAAATAACTTCAGAAATTCTGAGAAGGATACAAATTCCAACCACTGTCTTAGACTACTTTCAAATTTCATTTATGATTAAGATCTCCTAGATCTACTTAATCTTCTTAGAAATACAACAACCTAATGCCAGAAACAATAAAGTGCCAGACGTTGCCCAAACAATAATAGTTTATGACTTCGTAAATTGCTTCAACCGTTTCCAAGGAGCTTGAATCTTAGAATAACCAGCAGATAATCCAATTCAACATACATTTATATTTTCCATGTGTGTCTCTTATTAGCTACCTTTGAATTTTGTTCATTCCTTCTTATACCAGATTTTCAAAATGTTTTCAGGCCAGGTAAAATTCAATTCAATTACAAGCGCTATTGAAGAGAAGTTTCCGTCGTCTCGCACCCTTCCTCGACAAAACAAGTCGTCAAAACAACTTCCAAAACCAAAACATGAGTCTTTCGTTGAGCCGAGCAACGCTCGGAGACTCTCCGATGACTCGACTCAATCAGCTCGAAGTGGCGAAATACAAATTCGCTCTCAAAATTTGGGGATGAAAAATAACAGTGGTTATGCCAACGCCTTGCCGAATTACGAATCTAATCGGGGCCAAAATGCAGTCGGGATGTCGACCTTCCGCGGAATAACTCCGAAAAGCATCTCGCGATTCAACAGCAACTGGACGGTTGATTCATTTAACTGCAGCACCTCAACTCTGAATCATTCGCCAAATGGTGCCAAGGAGAACTCCATTGCAGATAGTGGAATATCTTGCAATAATTCGGACCAACCTAGTCCGGTGCGACGAACCCTACAAAATCTCCGAGCAGCTTGGACACCATTGCACAGTAGCTCCAGCGGTCCAGTCTTGTCGTCGAAGTCAGAATCATTCACGTATAAACACCCTGATAGCGCACACAGTGTATATATATCAAATTATACTTCAGAAAACAACGGCTATGCAACAAGCGGCAACTCTCGAAATGCTAATCCAAGAAGCAACTCCATGGTTAGCCGTTTCAGGACCAAGAACCCGGTAGATTCAGCTGGAACCTCGCCAGGTTATGCAACAGAAGGAGGTTACGTAACACCTGTTGCGTCAAGAAATTACATGAGAAGCAACGACGTGATTGATGCTGCTGCCGTAATCAGCGATGACATAATAGATGGCGGTAACGGAAGTAGTGAATTGATCGATGAAGATGATCTGCTGGAGTTCATTATGGCGGAGGCCGAGACGAAGGCGGTCAACTCAATCCGAAGAAAGTCAACTGGCCGACAAAGTTTCCAATCCGCCATGATGCTACTGGATTTGAACAGCTATGGTCAAGAAATGAATTCTGGACCATTTGAAGAAAAATACGCAGATGTGAGTAAAAAATATTTTATTTTATGCCGTCCTAAATTGCAAAATCAGCTTTCTTTTCGATAAGCTCGGTAATTATTAACCCATTTTTGCAGCTTCCTT